TATATGAAGATCAATCAGGGCAGATGATTAATAAAGATAAGAGTTGCTTCTATGTGTATAGCAAAACTGCCCATTCTATAGTTCAAACTATTGAGGATTGCACTGGTTTTATTAGGGGAAAGTTTCCATTGACTTATCTTGGTTGTCCTATTGGTCATGCAAGGAAGAGGAAAAGTCATTTTTCCGATTTCACGAAGAAAGTTCAAAGAAAAATACAGGCTTGGAAGGGTAAACTTTTATCTTTGGTGGTAAGTCTGTGTTGATTAATAATGTTTTACAGAGTATTCCCATATACCTCTTATCTGCAATAACACCTCCTAAATGTGTTATTCATGATTTACATAGATTGTTTGCTAAATTTTTATGGAACTCTAAGGAAGAGGGGAGAAGCAAACATTGGATATCATGGTCCGATATTTGTAGGCCTAAGGAGGAAGGTGGGTTGGACTTTAGATCTCTTTTTGATGTGTCCAAAGCAATGTTTGCCAAACTTTGGTGGACTTTCCGAACTAAAAATTCAATGTGGACTATATACATGTGGAACAAATACTGTAAGAGACATAGACCTCAATTGGTGGAATGGAATGGAGGTTCTCACACTTGGAAGTTTATGTTAGAAGCTAGAGATTGTATTGACCAACAGATTTGGTGGGAACCAAAGTGTGGTCATTCCAGTGTATGGTTTGATAACTGGACACAATTGGGTGCTCTTTACTATTATTTACTTGTTTCTCATTCTAACAATTATGATTTTGATGAGGTAAATCAATTGATGATTCAGGGACTTTGGAATGAAGATCTCATGCTCCAATTACTACCAGAAGATGTCTGTAAACATGTCCAAAATGTAATTGGAGTAGTAGAGGATACCGAAGAATGGGACTCACCAAGATGGATGTGTACTAGCTCTGGAAAATTTACGATTGGAAGTGCCTGGGAAATATTGAGACAAGGAAATGATGAACAAGAAATTGCTAAGAAGATTTGGGTGAAAGGAGTTCCCTTCTAAATTTTCTTTCTTTCTTTGGAGATTGTAGGAAAAAAAGAATACCCATTGGGGAAGTTCTTATCAAGATTAAAGTGGTGGATGAAGTTAAGTGTTGTTGCTGTAATAGTTCAGAAGATGAAACTTTTGAACATCTTTTTGTGACGTGCTTTATGGCTAAGAAGTTGTGGAATACTTTTGCTAGTATTGCTGATGTGCAGGGACCTTTTATGCAGCTTAACGATACTATACATAAATGGTGGGGTAAGGACTGCTCATCAAAGCTTATACCTCTCTTCAAGGTTGTCCCGTCATTTATCACTTGGCAAATCTGGAAAAGGAGAAATATGATTTCTCATGGAGGTAATATGTCATTTTATGGTATGGTTATGGAGGTCAACAGAAATTTATATCATCTAGCTACTTTTAGTTATCCTTGGTTGCAAAACATTCCTAATACTTGGCATCTGATGGTTCCTTTTTTTATTGAATATGCACCCCTTATTGATTGTAAGATGGTGTACTGGAGATTGCCTAGATTAGGATCCCTACAAGTGTAACTCAGATGGTGCAGTAAAAGGAGTTGGTGGCCTTAGTACTGGAGCCTTTTGTATTAGAAATGATGAAGGAAATTTGATACATGCTGAGTCTTTTGGTTTGGGAATAACTTCAGTTCTAATGTCTGAGGCAATGGCTTTGCGAAGAGGACTGGAGCACTGTATAATGCATCAATATTTGCCAGTAATATTGGAGACTGACTCATTAATGCTCCAAAAGA